CCAAAGGATTGGGTTGGGCGAGCCGGTGGCTGTCCGGCCCCTGGCATAGACAGGGCCCAATTCTAAGAAAAGGCTTAGCATGTGACTCAGGTAGAATTGACCTAGAACAGAAGTTCTAAGGATCCCAGAGAGCTTTTATTTTCGTGGGTTGTAGCTCTCAATAATGAATGCATTAAAAATTAAAACTAAAATTTAAAAAAATACTGTAGTCATTTAAAAATAAGAAGAATAAATCCAATACATTGTTTACCAAAAAAATGAGAACAATCCAAATATCCACAGATACCAAAAAGCCCAGTGCACTTGGTTTATTTATACAATAGAATATGATGCAGCTTATTTTTTACCGAATCTATAGATAACTACATTTTGTTTGTTTGTTTTGTTGTAATATATTTTTATTGATTTCAGAGAGGAAGGAAGAGGGAGGGATAGAAACATCAATGATGAGAGAGAATCATTGATTGGCTGCCTCCTGCATGCCCCCCATTGGGGATTGAGCCCGCAACACAACCCAGGCATGGGTCCTTGACCGGAATTGAACCTGGGACCCTTCAGTCCGCAGGTTGACGCTCTATCCACCGAGCCAAACCAGCTAGGGCAGATAACTACATGTTAACAACAAATCTGTGGGGGGAAGAACCCCTTTGAATGAAAAAGGCAAGTAGTAAAAGGATAGAAAATAAAATACCATTCATGTCCATTTTTAAGGCAGAAGATACTAATTGGTAAAGTGGGTCTTTGACGCGAGGCTAAATCTGGGCCTATTTCAGTAGGCAGCTCATTGAATGAGTCGTCAAAAGATTTTGAGCAGGAACCGCACACCTCTGCTATGAAGATCCGTCTAGTGGTCCTTACCCTGGGTCCACACACACAGTGCAGGGGGCTTGTATCCTTGCATGGGGAAAAGTTTACCGTTATTTTCAGGAAATGGAACATTTCCCTTCTGATGGAGTCAACAAAGCTCAATGGCATTGGCAGGAGCTGTGACTGTCACCAATAGTAATCACAGATATTTCATATCACCTTACAGTTATGGGAAATGTTTTAAAATATCCCTACACTCATCATAGCATACGGTCTGCTGCTGGATCTCATCACTCAATGGCTTAATAAAGGCGCACATATATATTACACCACAGATTTGATTTTTAAAACATTTTTAAAATGCACACACACATTCACACACACACACACACACTCTAGCTTGGAACCCTCTGAGCTCAGCTCCAGGCCTGGCTCTAGCAGAGGGCAGCCTGGGATATAGCAGAGGCCGCGGCTCTTTCCTCCAGACAACCAGGAGCCACAGGAGGGGCCTCTTGCTGGGATCATTGCGAGGAGCCCTGGGGTCATTCAGGGGTCAGGAGGCTGCCTGCTGCCGCCTGAACCACAGATTCCTGGGGACTGGAGTCTCTGCAGCCCCCATGCTGCACTTCTGTCATTTCCCCTTTGGCCTCTCCCAGGCAGCGCTTGTCTTAATTGTTGGCCTAATGACACCCATATAAAAAGGGGGAGGGGAGAGCATTGCTCAGTGACCAGTGAGAAGGTCCCTGGGCACGGCCAGGGCAGATCTGCTAAGGTACGGGGTGGGCAAAAGTAGGCTGACACTTGTGCGTACGTGAAACAGTTTATTCTTGTCTTATTTATTCATTAATTGCTTATTTGTATTATTTGTCTTCTTCTTATTCCATATCCTTACTTATGATTCGTGTTTTTAGGTAACGACGGCTGGTAATTTAAAGTACTTTTGCCCACCCCTGTATTGGAGAAATGTCTCTGCATTAATGGGTGCTTTCGGCCCAGGTGGCCTAGAAACCTGCCTGCCTCCTCTCCGCCTCCCCAGCTTCGCAGGTGCTGGCTGGCCTGCATCCACAGCAGGTTGGAGCACAGGGCCCCCCTGTGCGCGCCCACGGAGTGGACCGTCTCTGCTCTGCCCCCCTGCCCCTCACTTAGGCTTGGGGGGAAGGTGGAGGAAACCAGACGAGAAATAGAAAGGTTCTTGGCCTTGACAGAGGGAAGGGGGAGGCAGGCAGTGGCA